TCTGGTCTGGTAGAGTTCATTGACGTATAAATAGAACCTATAGGATATACTGTTTGAAGTATTTCTGTCTTTAATGTTTGAAGCTCTGTTTTGTCTGCTTTTTTATATAACTTTTCTTCAAGTTCATTTACGTCAGAGATGCTATGTCTATGATATTTTTGTGGGTATGTTCCTTCTGTCCATGCGAAAATACGTTCTTTTGTTGCATCTACATATCCTTTTATCCATGTCGAGTCTGCTTTTGTATTCCTTAACTCTGTAACACCTTTCTCAAGCTCTTTCAACTGTTGTCCATCTTCCATTAAACCTCTGGTATGACTTGAAACCGTTTGTGCCAACATATCTACAGTTTCTTTATCCGCTTTAAGGTCTAAACATCCTGAAACCCACCCTGTATTGGCTTTACCTTCTAAAATCTTCGATGTCCGTTCATTATACCATTCAACCCTTTCTTTAATTTCATTGTCTTTTTCATCCACATATTCCTTATCTGCCTTCTTCACTAACCCACTAGCCAGATATGCTAACTCATCGTCAACATACTCTTTGTCAGCTTTCTTTTCAACATCCTCTTTTGTTGCATATGTTGCATCTGCTCTGTCATGTTCTTCTTGAACTTTTTCAATGACATACTCTTTGTCAGCTTTGTTGTCAATATCTGCTTTCAAAAGAAGTTCTTTTATAGGCTTCTCGTTTAAAGTTCCTTTTGTTGGATTTACACAGACAGTATGGTTCTTACTGTCTTGAAACAGAAACTCATCTGTCATTGGGTTTAATGTCAGTTTTAAGTTTCCTTCTTTCAATGACTCAGATATCTTAGAATAGTTTGAAAAGTTTGTTGTGTTCTTATTTAGAGCTTGCAAAATGAGTTGTCGGTTGTGTTGTATTTCTCTCATAGACGCTGTTTCTTTCGACATTTTTATTCTAGATAAAATATGCTTTCAATAGAAAAAGAAAATTCAAGAGTTGCTACAACTAAACCATTAGATGAACTTTTTACTAACGTAGGTCAAAAGTTTGAGACAGAGACCGTAAAGCATGAAGGCTATCGTTTTGACTACCCATTGAGATGGCTAAGAGACCCATCCGTCACAAAAGCTATTGGCTTTCGTAGAATGAAGTTCATTTCAGAAGCCATACATGGTTTCCCATTTACGGTCGCTTTTGAAATTCGATACTATAACAAAGAAAAACGTACGTATGAGAAATTTGAACAGGGAAAACTTTTACAAGTGAATTTGCTTGTAAACTTAGAAACAACTCTTCAAGCTTTTCAAGAAAAAATAAACGATATCTATCTCGAATATGCAAAACAGTACAACATTGACGAAGGAGAGTACCATCTCGATATTATATATGACAGGAAAAATGCAACTGTTAAAATCAATAGAATAGAAGACCTTGGAGAAGACGTTTATATTTCTACAAAATATAACAACTTGGCATGGTATAGATTTTTGAGGATGTTAAATCAGCCTGCAGCATATCCAGTACACCCGAACTTTTATGAAGTCGAAAACCCTAATGGAACATATGAAAATGTTTTCGACTCAGATGCTATTATTGTTCATGCTTCATTTTCTGGCGCCCAAAACTCTTTTTTATGCTTGGCAAATGACTTTTACGAAAAACCTACAAAGCTATATGAACCACCGAGTGGAAGTATTTCAGACTTTCAAGTATGGTTTACTACAGATGGAAGAAAGAGAATAATTCCATTATACCACGCGTTTTACTTAGAACTTAGTTTCATATACAACTACTATCGAACGGTAAAAATATGATTTTTTAATACGGTTGAGGTGTTGGATTTGGTTGCCAACTAGACTGTGGTGCAGGTTCAGGCTGTTGTATAACAGGAGCTTGTTCTTCTGGTTCAGGGTCTTTAGGTATAATACCAACGAACTGACCTACTCTTTTGCCAATATTTTTGACTCCGTTCCAAATTCCTCTTCCGACAGATTTTATTCCATTCCATATACCTCTTCCAACATTTCGAAAGAAGTTTCCTATTCTTCCAAAGAAACCCATTTTACTATATGTAAAAATCTAATGTCCACCTAGTCTCTTACGTTTCCTTCTGAGTTCCATAGCATTCTTTAACTGGAGCTCATACATTCTATTTCTCCTCTGGTAGAAAACATATTCTGGGTCAACTCCTGTGTTCGCGTCATCTGCATAAAGTTGTTTATATCCCACTTCAGGGTTTGTATAAAACTCTTTCCATCTCATATTTGCATACCATGGTGGCAAACCTAACGCAGCGTCATTTGACATGGCAGTTTGCATTTGTACATCTGTTGGCACTTGACCATAGTTTGCCATTGCAGTTTGTATTCTAACTTCATTTGGAATATTCTCTGGGTTTGGTTGTCCAGGTTGCTGTGCATTCGCTAAGTTCTGTGCGTCCATTTAATATTAGATAAAAATATCTCTTACGAGTACATATACTGGACATTTGCAGGCATTGGTTCATCTTCATATTCTCTATATCTTTCTGCCACGTCAAATAAGTAAATGACACAATGGAAAAAACCTAAAACAAGAAGTCCTATTTCAAACCACATTTACTTACTAGTAAAATTTCTTTGTTATGACACTTTCTCCAGTTTATAGGACCTCTCTCATATTCTATCTTATCGTATCTAAACTCATAGTCATGTATGTCCTCTAACCATCTCATGACACTTTCCAAACCACTTTTATCGGATGTAAAGTAAAAGCATGGATGGTTATGTAAAACGTCTAAAGTTTCTAAAGAGTCTCTCAAAGTCCAGTCTACTTGGTATTGAAAATCCCATGTGTTATAGAACGGCGGGTCCACTATAAAGAAAACATTTTCCTTGTCTTTATATTTTTCATACAACTCTGTCCAATGACATCTCACAAACTCTATACCCTCAATATATTTTTCTATGTCCTCTTTGAAAACATTTGTATAGTTAAGATATAAAACTTTTGACATAAGTGTTTCAATGTCATGAACTCTTATAGCACCACTATATAATAGTCTAGCAGATATACTATCCCAGTCAATATACTCTGCCTTTTTCAAAACCTCTCTGACAGTATTTTCTTATCTAATGGTATACGTTCCATCTTACCTATAGGTATCTTTTCTTTTAACTCTTTCAATATTTTGTTTGTGTCTGGTATATGTTTGAGACGGTTCATATAGTTGTCGAAGTCATTGCATATAATCTTTGAGTCAGGAAATATTGTATGGCACAAATGAGATATATAGAAACTTCCACCGAACAAGTCTACAAATGTTAGACCATTCGGTAGTTTCTTAAGTTCTCTCAATAGAATATCTTTACATCTACTCTTATTTCCAAAGAAGGGTAACGGTGGTTTTGTAAAATTCATTTTATATACAATAAAAATGTTTTTTCCCTGAAAAGTGACAGAAAAGTGACAAACATGAAAACTACTCGGTTAAGGTTTTTGACAGATGTTTTGTTGTGACTTCTTCGTAAAGACTTTGTTGAGATTTCTTCGTAAATGAGTGTAAATGACCCAAAAATATATTTTAGGGTAGAAGGGTATATCTACCCCGTTTTCTACCCTCATTTCTACCCTCTTGAATTTTCATGAATTTCTTCGTAAAGACTTTGTTAAGACTTCTTCGTAAAGACTTTGTCAAGATTTCTTCGTAAAGACTTTGTTAAGACTTCTTCGTAAAGACTTTGTTGAGATTTCATCGTAAAGACTTTGTTAAGATTTCTTCGTAAAGACTTTGTTGAGATTTCTTCGTAAATGACCCTAGTAGTATATTTTTGGTGTAAAATTCATGAAAATTCAAGAGGGTAGAAATGAGGGTAGAAAACGGGGTAGATATACCCTTCTACCCTAAAATATATTTTTGGGTCATTTACACTCATGAACTTTCTTGTCTATGTTTTGTTAAGATTTCTTCGTAAAGACTTTGTTGAGATTTCATCGTAAATATTTTGTCAAGACTTCTTCATAAAGACTTTGTCAAGATTTCTTCGTAAATGTTTTGTCAAGACTTCTTCATAAAGACTTTGTCAAGACTTCTTCGTAAAGACTTTGTCAAGACTTCTTCGTAAAGACTTTGTCAAGACTTCTTCGTAAAGACTTTGTCAAGACTTCTTCGTAAAGACTTTGTTGAGATTTCTTCGTAAATGTTTTGTCAAGACTTCTTCGTAAATGTTTTGTCAAGACTTCTTCGTAAAGACTTTGTTGAGATTTCTTCGTAAATGTTTTGTCAAGACTTCATTTATACTAAACATCTTCGGGGCTAGAGGGCACGAAGTGCCTGGAAGCCCCACTACCCTTTTTTTTTTTTTTTTTTTTTTTTTTTTTTTAGTAGTAGGATGCTGAGAAACCAATGTTGGGATTGTTGATTCTTGATCCTTAGCTTTTTTGTTAGAACTCCATATTCTTTACGAAACAAAGAAGTATCTTTTACTTCAAGGCCATCATTTGTGAATGATCTTCATCTTTGGCCTACAATTCATTCAAATTCCAACAATTTGGCATTTTTGATACGGTACTATGCAATTCTATGGATTTCACACAAACAAAAGCCAGATATATGAAATATGGTGAGCACCAAGAGAGCATTGTGCCATCTTGTCACTCTTATTTAATCAAACATAATAAAATTACTCAATATACTCAAATTTACCATAACATCCTAAAAATAATGCGTTCACATATATTGAATGCCATTATTTAAAGTTCAAATATAATTTTTTTGAATTAGCTTTGCTCATTAGGTTATAGCCATATCTTATTCTATCTTGAGGCTGCCAAACAAATTTAATACATTGAAGTAATGACTAATCAAAACACATAAAATATCAAATGAATTATTTAATACTACGTGTAATTTGATTATCCTTGCCTGTACTTTGAAAAACATAACATTGGAATCGATAGGATGTCTTGATGTTGAGCTATTATCGCTTTCATTGTGTAATGAATCATCTAAATTCAAACTTGTTTAAAAATCACTCCGAAAAGTGACAAAAATGATTTCGTTTCTTTTTAATTTCATATCATCAAAAGAAATATCAGAACCAGGATTTTACGACATTTCATTACAGTCTCAAGAGAGGTTAATTATCAATACTAAAAATGGCAAAAACAGCGCTCATATTTTTTCAAAAGTAAAAAGCTCGGTTGAAGCAACAATAGAAACATGGAATTTAACAAATTCCAATTTCATAAATAAAATCGATGACTTCCAAGCCGTTACTATTACTGGTGAAATCTCCAAATCTCAAATAACATTCACATCTGATGTTACGCTTAAATTATGGCTATTACCAGCAACAGAATGTGCTGGTGGTGCAAACTATTATCAAACAAAGCAATACCTCGTTGATGAACTCACTCCATCCACATTTTTAAAGGAAAACGTATGCGTATTCTCGAATTTCGATAGAGAAGGAACAGTAAAAGCCTTTATGGAGCGTCGTAAGAACCAAGGAAATCCAAATCTTGTTTATATGAAAGCCGAAAACTCAAAAGTTGTTCCTACAACAATATGCAATTATTCTCAATGCGAGTTCGTTGGCAATAACGATGGCTACATTAAATACTCAAATTTCGGAGATAATACAACATTTATTTATAAACTCGAATTTGCAGAGAATACAACTACAGATATCTGCAACAGAAAGATAATTCCTATTGTTAACGTGAATAGCATGGAAGATAGGTTCTTCAAACCTCTCAGACACGAATTAGATTGTTCTAAGCCTGCATCACCAGATCACTCTTACTATAACTTCTACTACGCTACAGGAATACTCATAGTATTATGCGCTGTATGCTTATTTGCTGTTTACAAAGGTTGGTGCGCAAAATTATCTTATAAAGTATTTGGAGGCAACAATGGAGAGCCAACTATTCAGAATATCGACGAAGATCTCGTTGATGATATTGCTATCGATGATGCCGAAGAAGACGCCTAAAAATTTTGTTTTTGCAAAGTTACGAATAAACTATTATTTTTATAGTTATTTTTTGAATACAAATATATCTTTTGGAGCTGGGAGAAGTTGCTTTTGCCAATATCGCTGCTCCTTCATGATTTTTTTTTTAGATTTTTTTATTCTTGTATTATAAGGATAGATCTGTTAAATATCGGCTCCAAGAACTTCATTTGAAGAAATTAGCCTATGCTGAACTAGAGCTTGGTACAGACGTTCTCTCATGATTAGATTCCTCTCCAAATCGGTGTTTCAAGAATCATAACATAAGGAATTGTTTGCAAAGCTTCAATCTTACCATACCCCAAGGCTTAATATTTTAATTCAGAGCCAAGTTCCTCTCTAATATACCCTTGTCTCGGAGGAACTTGGACCTGAAGAGTTAAATTGCGTGATATGACCTAAATGAATGACACAGTTGTAATATGAATGGTATTACAGGAGAGAAAGGGACAAACTATCCAGTGTCACTTTTCAAAGGAATAAAAAAAATAATAAAGATGAAATAATAACATGAAATCTTATATAAATATAATTTTATCTAAATAGATAAATGAATTAAGCAGTTTACAGTTATATATATTTAATGAGAGACAATATCTAGTTCTATGGTAGAAATGACTCTTAGACTCAAATAAGTAACACAGATAGAAAGTACTCAGTATAACAATTATATATGTACACTCAAAGTTAGTCGCTGCTAAAATCTTAACCTTGCATTTCGGGAAAATCTGACAAATGGCTCTTAGACTCAAATAAGTAACACAGATAGAAAGTACTCAGTATAACAATTATATATGTACACTCAAAGTTAGTCGCTGCTAAAATCTTAACCTTGCATTTCGGGAAAATCTGACAAATGGCTCTTAGACTCAAATAAGTAACACAGATAGAAAGTACTCAGTATAACAATTATATATGTACACTCAAAGTTAGTCGCTGCTAAAATCTTAACCTTGCATTTCGGGAAAATCTGACAAATGGCTCTTAGACTCAAATAAGTAACACAGATAGAAAGTACTCAGTATAACAATTATATATGTACACTCAAAGTTAGTCGCTGCTAAAATCTTAACCTTGCATTTCGGGAAAATCTGACAAATGGCTCTTAGACTCAAATAAGTAACACAGATAGAAAGTACTCAGTATAACAATTATATATGTACACTCAAAGTTAGTCGCTGCTAAAATCTTAACCTTGCATTTCGGGAAAATCTGACAAATGGCTCTTAGACTCAAATAAGTAACACAGATAGAAAGTACTCAGTATAACAATTATATATGTACACTCAAAGTTAGTCGCTGCTAAAATCTTAACCTTGCATTTCGGGAAAATCTGACAAATGGCTCTTAGACTCAAATAAGTAACACAGATAGAAAGTACTCAGTATAACAATTATATATGTACACTCAAAGTTAGTCGCTGCTAAAATCTTAACCTTGCATTTCGGGAAAATCTGACAAATGGCTCTTAGACTCAAATAAGTAACACAGATAGAAAGTACTCAGTATAACAATTATATATGTACACTCAAAGTTAGTCGCTGCTAAAATCTTAACCTTGCATTTCGGGAAAATCTGACAAATGGCTCTTAGACTCAAATAAGTAACACAGATAGAAAGTACTCAGTATAACAATTATATATGTACACTCAAAGTTAGTCGCTGCTAAAATCTTAACCTTGCATTTCGGGAAAATCTGACAAATGGCTCTTAGACTCAAATAAGTAACACAGATAGAAAGTACTCAGTATAACAATTATATATGTACACTCAAAGTTAGTCGCTGCTAAAATCTTAACCTTGCATTTCGGGAAAATCTGACAAATGGCTCTTAGACTCAAATAAGTAACACAGATAGAAAGTACTCAGTATAACAATTATATATGTACACTCAAAGTTAGTCGCTGCTAAAATCTTAACCTTGCATTTCGGGAAAATCTGACAAATGGCTCTTAGACTCAAATAAGTAACACAGATAGAAAGTACTCAGTATAACAATTATATATGTACACTCAAAGTTAGTCGCTGCTAAAATCTTAACCTTGCATTTCGGGAAAATCTGACAAATGGCTCTTAGACTCAAATAAGTAACACAGATAGAAAGTACTCAGTATAACAATTATATATGTACACTCAAAGTTAGTCGCTGCTAAAATCTTAACCTTGCATTTCGGGAAAATCTGACAAATGGCTCTTAGACTCAAATAAGTAACACAGATAGAAAGTACTCAGTATAACAATTATATATGTACACTCAAAGTTAGTCGCTGCTAAAATCTTAACCTTGCATTTCGGGAAAATCTGACAAATGGCTCTTAGACTCAAATAAGTAACACAGATAGAAAGTACTCAGTATAACAATTATATATGTACACTCAAAGTTAGTCGCTGCTAAAATCTTAACCTTGCATTTCGGGAAAATCTGACAAATGGCTCTTAGACTCAAATAAGTAACACAGATAGAAAGTACTCAGTATAACAATTATATATGTACACTCAAAGTTAGTCGCTGCTAAAATCTT